TTCCTTTGCATTGAAGGGGCGAGGGTGAATGGCGAGAGAAATATATAGGAGATGCTGTGCAATATTTTGGCTTCAACATACAGGTACTCGTGCAGACAAAAAAGGAAATGCATACAGTTGTGGATTGTGACGATTGTCGTATAATTGTGCACTGTCGATCCCAAACAATGTTGTACGTTAACACTCATTCCTACCTGGTGTTTAATATAAACGATGATAACCTTTTTTTTAAAAAATATCTAGAGAACTATGTCTATAAACGGTTTTAGGATCAATAGAATGGACATTCAACGTCTATTTGGCTAGTGTCCAAATGTGTAACGTTTGCTGTAAGACCACCAAGGTCTACGACCTACACAGATCGCTTGTGAGACCTCTATAGTATTTAACAAGTAAATAAATGCAAAGTATATATCGTATCCAAATGACCACAATTCAATGGCATACATGTATATAAGAATATTATAAATATCTGAACCAGAGGCAGAACAGAAACGTATGCGCGAAATGAAACTGCGCCCGAACTCCGAGAATAAAAGAGCAAATATTTCAAAGCATACGATCATACGTTTTCATTGCTTGATTTCCTGACTTGTCTGTTGCTATATGAATCTGCACTTTGGCATGTTTGTATAATTTAATAGTAAACAACCAAATTTAGCAAGTATTTTGAAGTAATTATCATTTTCAAAGATGATAATACAGAACAGTCACTCCTTGCAATCGAAGTGTGAAGTGCGGAAGTGGAAACATGTAATATGAGTTTTTCCCTCACCCTCTTAAAGGCGCGTTTCTTTTGTAAATCTAGATTTGGATTTTTAGGATTCGGATTTTTGGATTCGTTAAACAAATGGAACGAATTGTGAGAATCGGAATTCGCCTGCTGTTTTCCCGCCATTTTTACAATAAGTTTTCTGTCCGACTATACCTTTCGGTCGAGTCAAGGTAGATGCTAGAAGGCCAGAAGGTCAAAAGGAACGTTGAATCCTAATTAAGTTTCAGATTGAGTCCGAAAAATCCATATGTTGAGGTGGACTCATCAGATTCGAATCTATTTAAGATTTTGTCAAATGAAACTGAAAATCGATAATCGGATTTGAAAATTCAAATCTGGATTGCACTAAAGGAACGCTCCCTACGATTATCCATTTTCTATGGGTCACGTGACCAGCTCCGACCAGGGTTTTTTCTTCATAAGAGGGAAGAGCCTGGGAACGAGGTTGACTGCATTTAACGATATTTAACTGCATTTACCGATATCTATGTTCGCACAATATCGGAGGAATACGCAAATTCGTCTAGTTCTATTTGTTACACAGGAATTTCTAGGGTTAGCTGTGTTTGAATTTGTCCAGTTTCAAGTGTCCCATGTGAACGCATAAAGTGATAGTCGTGAAATTGTGAGTATGGTTCAGAATTCGTTCAGTCTCGTGTGAAGAAGGGTCGATTGGGTCATAATCATACCGATCATGTCCAAAAGTAAATATTATAGAATTTATTAAATATTTTATTAAAATTTAATCATTAATTTTGTTCAATTTTAAGGTGGTGCTTGGAAACGTTCCAACGCGTCATTTTTATTCTCCCTACGCAACAAGGATAACCTTGCTCCATTTATTGCCAACATCAAGCAAGGTCTGGAGCAGAATGCAATCTACTGTAATCATGGTTATGGACCAACCTTTGGTGGAGGTCATGATCTGTACATTTGTAACAATCCTCAAGTTAATCAATCATACAGCAATTTTGGAAGCACATATGAACTTCCCCCTGGTTATGCCTATAACAGTGAACAAGCAAAGAACCTTCTTACTGGTCAGTACCAATTCTTAACGACAGAAATCGAAGTCTTCAACTGACAGTTGCCTTGGTTTACGTACTTCAACGAAAAATAACATTACATTGATTACGACCGCTCTTAGCAATCACTTTTGGACAGTGATTTTGCGATGTTATAAAGTATTAAGAGTTAATATGAATATTCTGAGTCATGTACTGTAGGAATTTTAAAAATTAAAATTGGTCGTTTGCCTCAACAGTAGCAGTTACTGGAGTCAACAAATGAAAGGCCTCGAAGAAAACTTGTGAAAAACCGATTGTTATACAGCCGACAGTAATCAATTATCTAATCAGCATATAGCCTAGGTAAATGTTCGAAAATTGGAAGAACATTTAATTTTCGATCGACCACTTTAAATCGGGTTGCATCTGACCATTTTTTATCACAATGACATAAGAACGGTGTCATTTGGCAGCTAAAAGCCTATCTTTATTAGTGTGCGAAAAGTAAATGTATAAACTTGGTATCTATAACGCACGATATAAACATGCCGAAGTTGTTTTATCATTTGTGATACATCCTGCACTATACATGTTGAAGAGTTTTCGAGATTTCCATCTACAAAAAACCATTCAACATTTAATATCGACTGAGATGCCTGAAATTATGATATTTATCCTTATACGTACCTTACACTGGCATCACGTAGTATGTGTAGTATTATATGTACTGTATACATGGACTTGTGGTTAAAACTCGACAAGTGGATTTTGTAGCTCAGTGAGTACTGCACCGGAATCGCAGGGCGGCAGGTTTGATTCCTGCCAGAGGGCCTATATATATATATAGTTGCATTTTTTGCAGTTGCTCCTGGTTTGGTGTATAAACGTATAAAATTTACACTCGAGATTTCCATCTACAAAAACCCTTCAACATTTAGTATCGAGTGAGGTGTCCAAAATTATATGTACCTTTTTTCCTTGATCTTGATATAATCAATGATTTGCAAGCTTTCTCAGTAATTCTTATATATGTACATATTCAATTTATTATCAACATGGCCGCCGAGATGTTCAACGCTGAGTAAGCCCGAGACAAAACTTAAGTTTGCAAGGGGGCCCTTATGACGTCATAATTGTAAAGGGAGAGAAGCGTGTTTTACAATATATCACACTTTATTACATATCCGACACTAACGCAGCTACGATTTATATTTTCAGTTAAGCAATCTTGTATCGAGGAATTTTAAGGGCATTCGTTGCTTTGGTGGCCCCTTTTGCTAATTGATTTTGGGGTCCGGGCCAAAGCTAAAAGTGCCCCCCCCTGATTACTTTGATCTAATTTATGCTATCCAGGTCATGTAAATATTTTACAAGGAATTAAATTTCAAAAACCAAGTGCTTTCTAGTAGGCTCCTGGCTCTTTATGTTAATGTAAGATTACTTTTAATCATTGTTCTTATTGTTGTAAATGACGAAATGAATAAATAATCGGAATGTCACAAACGATTAAGCCTGGCCATAATCTTGTTTCAATCCATGTCTCGGATTACTCAAGACGTTTTATTCGGATATTATTTCGTTTTAAAAATACCGTATTACTCCCAATATGAGATGGGCTTCCACGCAGAGGGGCTTACATATGACGGGCGATTGTATACGAAAATAATTTTGTGTTCGTATGTATATACAGTGACATAGCATCCCCTTGTCAAATTAACGAAACATTATTGAAAATAGTATTTTTCCTGTTCGGTCACTCAATTTTGAGTTCTTGGCTTATTTACGGCTTGGTAGGAGAGGGTTATGTATGGTATGGAATGAGCGTTAGTGAGTATCCTGGGCTGGTAGACGTAGTTGATATTTGGGAGTATTGAGGACTTACAGTATATTCGGAGGTACACAGTAATACAACTCGCGCTAAAATTCTTTTTGGGCTATTTTGAGACACAAATCAGTGGCCATGTAACGGGAGGGTACGGTGGCGGAGCCAACCATAGGGACAGGTCAATGCTATGCAAATGTTTAATGATTTGCATTATTCCAACCATTAGAAATGCATTGACTTTATTAGCATAGCATGACCAGTTGCCATGGATAGCTCGCCACTGGTAAGATGTAAGTTTGGATTAATGTGAACATAGTAGCATCACCCTGCCTCCATGTAAATATGCATTCTTAATTACATGGCTGACAATGTATCACATTACAAATTTAAATGCTCAAGCGTTAATGTTAACCCATGTTAATGCGCAAGACATGAAGAGTAAAATCGTCTGGCGTTAGACTGGGCAAAATAATAAAGTTGGTTCCAGTTGGGCAGATTGCAGCTTAATGGGTTAAAAAATAAAGCGTAAAATAAAAACCGGAAATGAGATCATCTTAATTAAAAACCGAAAATATTTACTAGAGGTAGTATTTCGTTTTCAGTTTCAGGGCATGAAATTTACTGGAAATGACCATTTTGAGACAGTCTGATTCGGCCAACATGTTTACTTTGCTTCATTGATTATTTTGCTACACCCTGATGTACCCTGGATTATGGATTTTTCTGTTTCGCTGAAGCTGTAGCCTGCAGTCGGGTGCAGCTGGCCAAGCATGCCTATCAAACTTGCATGACACCAGAAAACCTCTGCACCCAGGGTACACCCTGATGTGGTTCTTTATTAAATTAATCAACGATATTAGCAATATAGATTGCCAGCCCAAAGTTTGGCAAATGTCAAACGACCGTGTCAGAGTACGTCGCTCTAAGAAACGTTTGCGCAAAACTACTTGTATAATATGTTTTTTGTCTTTCAGGACTTTAACATAAAACATGAATTAGGTATAGAAACGATTTCATATCTCTTTGATATCGAAAACTAAATCTGGGTGTGATCCTTACGTTGATGTCACCATATTTTTGGTGTGTCGCGGTCAAGTCCATTTATTTTAGCCAATAAAAATGTTTACAAGTTAACTTATAGTTTATTACTTTACCAAAATTGGTGGATTTTTGCGGTTCACCCTACCTCCAGAAAAAAACGTCCAAATCCTCCCACTCGTGTGTATAATACAAACGAATCTCTTCTTGCGGACACATCTCTAATATGGAAGCTTTTCAATTACGGACACGTTTTTAAAAAGAATTCTCAAAGACGGACAACTCTCTTCTTTTCAAAATTGTCAGCTGGTACTGGTTTTACTGTAAAACACAGTTCACCTTCTTTATTTAATAGGGAGACATGCAGAAGGGAAAGCAACATGCCAGGAATGAAGAGGTTAGGTTTACGTGTATTTGCTTTCTGTTGCAGGGATTTAATATCTGTTGTCCTTCTTAGAAAGGGTCCGTATTAAAGAAGCTATGTGAATAGCAAATTACACGAGAAATTTGTCGGAAATCAAGGCTTTTTTAATACCATGGACTGGTGGGGCATTTTCCCCACTGGGCCCCTTTGTCTGCCCCACCACTGAAGAAAAAATATGGCCTATTGCCCCAAAGTCAGGGCCCTAGGACCTGTATTGAGTAAATGAGTTTAACACTGAAAATAATTTTATGTTGAGTTTGAATGTTTAGCATGCAATTTATTACAAATTTCACCGTTAAAACTTCGTTTTGAGAAGCTGAGATTTTTTTTAAATGTGTTTTCAGAATGTAGGAAATGCTATTTCAGAGACCCAAATTTTAAAAATTTCCTGGTAGGGGCATGCCCCCAGACCGCCTAGCTAACTCGTGCCTGCGGTACTCGGCTCACACCTGCGATCGCATACCATCTTGGAGGGAGGGCAAGGAAAATGGGCCCTTTGGCAGTTTTGCCCCACCACTGAAGAATCCTTAAAAAATGCACTGTCGGAAATTGTCCGTATTAAAAAGACGTTAGAGAGTATTAGAGTTGGGGAGTATTAGAGTAAGAAGGTTAAGGAGTATTAGAGTTGTCCGAATTAAAAAGGCGTCTGTGTTGGAGAGTTGTCCGTCTATATATTAAGCCATCTAATCGCATCAACTTGGTGATGTTGAATCCCCAAACTAAATTACGGGAAACACTCCGTATTTTGCCAAATACAAAACAATAAAGAGTTTAAGATCTATGATGCGGCAAGTCAACGACGCACCTTCAAAACAACGAAATTCTGCAGCACAAGATATATGAATAATTTGTGGTCCCATGGGGCATGGGTGTATCCTCAATAGCTGTATGAAAACGACTGCTGACGCCACACTATTCCTGTTCATCAATTTATGGCGAAATTTCCAGTTCAGATGCCAGAATCGTACACGGCTAGTCGTATGGTGTAGATATGCCTTAAAAAGGAGAAGGAGCAATTCAAGGGAGTTATTAGAAAGGGAGGGCTAAAAATAAAGAATTTACCCCTCTGAATTTACCCGAAAGCTATCCAACTTTAATGTCAGTCAGTCCAGTTTTATATTGAGGTCACTAGCCCAGCCTAATCGCGGGCTAAGGGTTAATTCCAAGAAAATTAAAACGAACGCAAACTTTCTCTTTGGCAGTACAGTATTTGTGGTAAGATTTTATGCGATCATTTCGTTGGAAAGAAGACACAAATATGTTATCTTGAATTGTGAAGTAAGAAAGATTTAATTGAAATGGCAAGTGCTTCATCAGAAAGTGTTCCTGTTGATGAAATCAACGAACTACTCACATGTTGCATGTGTTTGGAAACCCTACAAGAACCACGAAGCTTGGCTTGCTTTCATAATTTTTGTAAAGTTTGTTTAGGTGAGTAATATTTTCTTTGTTTAAAAGGTATACTTGACACATGCTTTGCGTGGATACTTTACAGTTTAATAAATAAAATACCCGAGTAATGCAAGTTTTATTTTTGCGCAATGAATGCCTCCCTGCATGGTGCATTAATTGCGCGGAAGTGAAGGGCAGTATTGTATGCATAGCCAGGCCGTCACTTACAATACTAAATTCTGTTTTTGTGTAATAATCTTCCTCTCAACAGAAAGTAGACGAAATAAATGCATTAATTCGTGAAAAATACGCAGAATTTGTAGGATTTCGTTAAAAATGCGCGGACAGAAGTCACAAATGAAATATTTGTGCTGGGAACGCCTTATATATGTTGTAAACCAGCATGCCATATGATATGGGCTTTTGATGTACTATTTAAAAAACGAGCAGGAGTGTTTTATTAGGCTTAAAGCCACGAGCGCGCAGCGCGAGTGGCTTTAGACCTAATATTAAAACACGACCTGCGAGTTTTTTAAATGGCTTCAAAAACGTTTGCATAATAATTAAGTCAAATCTTTATATAAAAATCTTTATATAAAAATCTTTATATAAAAATCTTTATATAAAAATCTTTAATAGTTTGCATAACAATGGTCTTTTGTTAAAGTGTTCTTTAGCTGGTATAAAGACGTATGCACGTGACTAATTTCTTACTCAAGATTGGATAATTGCTTCATGAATTATTAATGAGTTTTTTGAAGTATTGTTCAAAAACTCATTAATAATTCATGAATCAATTATCCAATCTTGAGCAAGAAATTAGTCACGTGCATACGTCTTTATACCAGCTAAAGAACACTTTAACAAAAGACCATTGTTATGCAAACTATATAAAGATTTTTATATAAAGATTTTTATATAAAGATTTTTATATAAAGATTTTTATACAAAGATTTGACTTATTATGCAAACGTTTTTGAAGCCATTTAAAAAACTCACAGGTCGTGTTTTATTAGTTCTAAAGCCACTCGCGCTGCGCTCGTACTCGTTTTATAAATAGTACTTAAAAGTTCTTTCAAATGAGAAAAGAATTTTTTTTGCCATTTCCCTAAGTGGACAAACAAAAGCGGGATGCTTGAATAAACCTTTCCAGTAATTACGCCACAACTATACTGTTTTCAACTTAGAACCGCCTTAAGCGGAATGGATTTTAATTTCTTTTCTCACGGGCTGTGGTCAGAGGCGCAGAACGTCCCTCTTCAACACATGCATAAAAAAGGATTTTGACCAATAAATGTGGAAATAAGCTTAAACACGAAAACAAGTCGTGTTTAAGCTGATTTCCACACTTGTTGGTCAAAATCCAGAATTCGTTTTTACAATTCCAATAATCTTCTTTTTGCTGCTTTTGGAAGGGTAATTAAAAATTTATGGTTACTTCGATTTGCGTAGTCTTTCTCAGTTAAAATGGGCAATCAAGAACATAAAATGGGTTTGCATAATCACCTGCTGTGAATCAGATTGGGAATGTACATGTGCATGGTGGTCGTGTGACTGGTTTCAGGCAGACTTTCAGCTGCGAAAATGAGATCAAAACTTGTTTCATGATCTTCTTTGCACTTTTTCTTTATGTTGTCGCTGCCGGAACAATTCCCTTTGTTTTTGAAACTATTTAACAGATAAAAGTGAAGGCGGTGTCAAAAGTCAATAAATAGATAAAGGAAGGCTAAACCATTGCATGGAAAGAGCATCCCAAATTTACATTTGATTTTGCTCATTACTAGCTTTGGTTTGCGACCAAAACAGTGCATGGGCGATATCAAGCATATCTAAAGTCCATTTTCCACTAGGCGAATTTTTCGCGCGGAAAATGTAGCGAACAAAAATCTTGGCAATGTGATTATTCAGCGAAAAAATTCGTGGCGAAAAAGTTTGATCAGTTCCTACGGTTTTGCTGTTCGCGTGAACAAATTCACATAGTGCATGGAAAGTGGGCTTAATATTGCACAGTCCGTAGTGAACCAAAGCTTTCTCACTTGTTTAATTAAAGCATCCTCTTTCGAGTTTCACTAAATTTGAATAAACACGTTAGAATGGCGAACGTTAAATAATTGGAAATCAAATTCTATCAATTATATAGTCGTGAACTTGAGACACCGGTCTTCTTGAACAACATGCACATATTTCAAAATACTAAGCTTAATTAATAAGGCTTATGTTCTACGCCCAATTTGTAGAAATTTGATGAAATGTTTTCATTTCTCCTCATATATTAAACTTAACCCACAGCCATATTATTTACATCGATTTCAGTTAGCTATCTCAACAATTTCTATCTGTTCTTAATATCAACTATATATCTAACTAATATGTTTCGAAGGAGAAGGAAAATTTTGGAAGAATTATACCAAGAAAATTGTAGCTGTACTTAATTATAAAAAAATGGACAAATTTTTTTGTTCTTTAGATGCTCTTCATTGCTACCAAAGGTTCTAGTTATAGAAGTGATATAGCATTGGATGATATTACTTTTAAAAACCAGGCTTGTTTACCATCGATAAGTACTACAACTATTCCAAGTATAACGGGTAAGTATTCTTTTTTTAGTATTTCTTTTGTTTTTAGTATTTTTTTCATTATTTAGGGTAAGTATATTTCGAACTATATTTGTAAGATACATAACAACAAGAGGGAAATTTATCGTCGCCGCGACCAAAAAATTGCGGGCAGAAACAGAACCCATTGCATTCACGTTAGTGATTTGCATTCAAAACAAAGCATAGCAGAAAGTTAGCAAGAAACTGTTTTAGCTGACGATTTTTTGCTTTTCTTCGATCATGAATTCCTTGTTTTGGAATGATTGGTTTTTGTAATCGAGTGATTGGAAGAAGTAAATATGGCGACGTGAACATAGGAGTAAATACTGTATAGTATTACGTCAAGTTATGGTTTGCCAAAAACCGTAATAAAGAAAGAAAAACGTGATATGAGAATGAAATATACGTTAAAATTAATTTCATGTGCCTCAAATTTTCCATCCTATGTTTCTTAATGTAACTTCAGCAGTCTAATTTCAAAACAGAAGCTCGCGAAATTTGAAAATTTTGAAAATATGTAAAAATAGTTTGGCTTTCAACTGTATTTTTTTAAAAATAGCCCGTGGCGTCAATTTCAAATATAGCTAAATGAAAAGAAAATTTTTTTCGGCGTTTGCAGGTATCAAACATATCGTCAGGAAAATTGGGGCTCGCAATGTATAGCTTTGTCTATGTACAGCTAAGATCCAGTTGCTTCGCAGTCATGTGTTTTTGTCTAATTTTTGGCAAGAATCAATGGCCGAAAGGTGAATTTCCTTATATGAAAACCGCCTAGCTTGGGAATATGATCTAGTTTCACAATTTAGCTCTTATTCTTGATTACATGACCTGCGCACATTTTGGTTACACGTTAAATATTTTTGTACTTGATGCTATTCAAAATTTTCTGTATTTTCAAGCCCGGCTTCAGTGTAATTTTGGTGATGACTGGAAAAGAAATGATGATATTCTAAAAGCTAGTAAAACTGGGCGCGGCCTCAAGATAAAACTTTCCAAACATTTTCTGTATTTCATGAATTTTTATTTGATATCTTAGCTATAAGCATAAAAATATAGGGGCTCTTACAATTTACAAGGTTACTAGAAAATACATGCATGCAGAAACCCTCGCTTTGCTGACAAAACCGTTGTATTTTCCGAACGTGAAGCATTTCAAGTAGTCATGGTAACACGATAATTTTTTAAGAATATTTTTACAAATGAAAAATCCCCTAAAAATATCACTTTTAATTACAAAATTATCAATTTCGCAAACATTTATATGTGAGGTATGTTCCCCGAGCCAAACGGAGCGCCGTTTCCGGCGTAAGTCCGGGCGAGGGTACTAATTCCGCCCGGTTATTTACATCCGGGGTTCAAGTTCATCAATGATCGCGGGTGTGGGTGACCAACGGTGTTGAGTGGGTGGTCATCCTCACTGATCTCAAAATATGCACCGGACTGTCATGGATAGCGAACTCTGTTTGGTCCAATTTAAAATTTGTTGTTGTACGACAAATGACGACAGCGAAATAACAAACATTTCTTGCAAATATATTGTATTTTTGGAAGATTTTGCAACTTTCAAAACCTTTTTGAGAGCAGGAAACCGTCTGAATACGTCTAAAAGAATGGAGCAAAGTCGCCGACGTTAATAAAGGTAAGTTTGTTTTTAGTACTGCAGTACTCCTTGCTTTACAATTGCTTTAAAAACTGATACGATCCGTTGCGTATAGTAAAGTGAAAACAATTTCAGTGTATTTTTATTAATATTACCATTTTTTGGATATTAAAATATTTAAATAAAGAGGAAGGCAAAGTTATTTTCGTGCAACAATTTGAAATCAGTTTATTTCAATATTCAAACTCAATGTTTACCGATAAAAGGGAGTTCAGTTTTAAGAACATTTTAAAACGTTTTGCGAAGCGTTTGTGGTTGAATTTTAGATTAAATTGAAGCTTATATTACGTATAATAACATACCTAGCATATATATGTTTGGAAAATTGATCATTTTGTAATTAAAAGTGATATTTGGGGGAATTTTTCAAGTTTAAAACTATTCTTAAAATTATCGTGTTACCATGACAATACTTCATGTTTGGAAAACATAATGGTTTTGTCAGCAAGACGAGGGTTTCTGCATGCATGTAATTTTCTAGTATTATAATAAATATAAGCTTCAATTTAAGGTAAAATTCAACCACAAACGCTTTGCAGAACGTTTTAAAGTGTTCCTTTAATATAGAACTAAACTGCCTTTATCGATAAGCTTTGAGTTTGAAATAAAATGATTCCAAATTCTCGCATGCAATTAACTTTGCTTATTATGATAAAAATGGTATTTAATAAAGAAACACTGAAATAATATGCTATCTTGTTTCATATTTATACGCAGCGATCGGCTTTTAAAGTAATTACAGTATATTAAAAGCAAACAGTGCATCAATATTTAAAACAAACGTACCTTCGTTAACGTCGGCGCCGTTACTCAATTCTTTTAGCAATTCTTTCGCCTTTATTTTATCAAAAAGTTTTTGAAATTTGCAAAATCTTGCAAAAATGAAATATATTTGCAAGAAAACATCAAATCATAAAACGTTTGCTATTTCGTTGTCGTATTCAGTCGTTATAATGCAAATTTAAATTGGACCAATCAGTGTTGGCGGCTATTCATGACAGTCCGCTATATTATGAGGTCAGTGAGGATGACGACCCACGTACAGTAAGATACGCCCGCGAATATTGATGAACTTTAGACTTCGCTAATTTTTTCTTTTCCCCGCGGGTGTAAACAGCCTGGCGGAATTTGTACCCTCGCACGGCGCTTCGCGCCGTTGGCTCGGAGATAAAATGTATGACGTGCCTTTATTTTCATGTAAACATTCAAAATGATTCAACAGCAAAATAGCAACTGTTTCAGATCGAATGCACACGGACAGCATACCAGGGACAATTGCAGGGTCATGAAATAGCATGTCACTAACAAATTCCGTATGATTAATTTAGATCATGTCCATTTTTAACATAAAACAGTCAGTTATTTTGTACCAAACATTTGCCACTTTTTAATACACATGCAATTTGCGCCTTTTTGTAAACACTCGCTGCATGTATTCCACGCAATTGCGTAGCCCCTTTTGCTCGCGCATGCTCAGACAAATTTCTTACTTGTCACACATGACAGTTTCTGTAAGGTGCTCAAATATTCTGTACATTAAAGAGGCTCAAATTTGACTTCTATTACAACCGCCTTTCGCTGACTTAATACGCATTTGATTGGTTAATCAGGTAGATTAAACGCATCTGTTTGGTTGCTGATAGCGATATCGAGTTTCGATGTAACGTCACTGCCCCCGAATTTCCATTAAATTATTGCAAGCTAGTGTAGAACCCAAATCCGTAATGGGGGCAAGAGTTCGAAAGGCATAGTTTTCTAGTTGTTACTTTTGAATGGGCAATAAAACATTGATATCAAAAATTATTCAGAGCATGGTTTATTTTCACCACATCATTCTCTGAATTGACCTTGGTCCGACAAATACTTGACATAATATTTAGCTTTACCCAATAATTGTGTAATAAAATATTGGTAAATACCGTAAACGTGGTGTTTCCATCAACCAAACTTGTATAGCACTTTTGCAATGCGAAAATACACATCTTATCAACTCCGCTCTTTTCTTGTTCACAACATGTCATTGCTCTCCCCAGTAGGTTTGTGCTAATCACGCCGTTCTGGATATCTTCCATTAGAGAGGTTCAGATACCCCGTTTTCGGTGTTCGTGTACGGGTAGCATGATTTTGTTTAGCAATATTTTCGTCTATGTCTGTACCTTTACTCGTAATTAAGGTGCACATGCATCTATTGCAAGAAAACAGAAAAAAAGTTTGATCAAATTACAGACATCACTAAGACAAGATGACACTACTCGTAACCGTACACCGAAACCGGGGTATCCTAACCTCTCGATGACCTTTATTTGTACTTGGCAGATTAATGCATTATGCAATGGTAAATAAGACCCACTTATATTTGTCGTTGTTTCCTTGTTCTAACCTAGGCCAAGACAATTGCAATTTTGAAAATGGATGGTGTATATGGCGTAATTTTAATAAATTGTGGTATCGGCAGTCAGGAGGAACAAGATCTTATGGAACTGGTCCTAAGGGAGATAACAGTGGGCTTAAAGGAGGTGAGTGTACACGGATTGATTTGTGAAGCTGAGTTTACGCTATGAGACTTTGTCTGTCCTGAACTTAAGCTTAAATCGTTGTTTTGATTGTGAAAACAAACCATGACCAAGCCAGAGAATATCTTAGCCCACTGATATATATCTTCTGTCTGGAAACTGAAGTTAGCGAAAGTCAGATTTGGGGAAATGTGAACACTCTCTTCAAATTTCTTATGACGGAACTGTCTCTAAGCCGAATTTTTAAACTTTATTGTTGGAGTATAATTCGGACGACAGCCTTACAAAATAATCGTTTTACTAATTACAATGCTTTGGAGTGTAACTCCATCTTCAGGTTTATAAAATGATACGATGAGAAATCCAATCAACAACAATGAATCTTTTTAATCCCTTTGGTAAAAAGGTTTTATTTCGTACCTCTTTTAAATCCAAAAATGAAGCTGTAAATAATAAAGAATTATGTGCTTAACTTGTAGGCGGATTGACTTAAACACTGAAATGTAAACAGTGTTAAGGTATCACACTTACCTAGGTTTTGCTTTAGTTCAGCTTTAGACACAACAAGAATCGCAGTCTTAACACGGCCTAATACATCGTGGATATAGTACGGACTCATGTTCCTTTGTTACTGCTTAATTGTTCCAGGGCACCAGGAACCACGGTGTGCAGCGGCTCAAGCTGCGCAATTTGCCTTTCGTAATCACAACCTTTTATTGCATTGCGGTTGGAGACTTCGTGGCGTCCATCGTCTGCACAGCATTACACCCAAAACGTTAGGTAAATGGTGCCCTTGCAGCCGCTCAACTTGTGATTCTGACAGCCCTGGTCTTTCCCCAATTGCAATCGTATGTATTGTCTTCTCTCAACCGCACATTGTTTGTCCACGCAATGTTGTCCACCCAATTATTCCTATAACTCTGGTGCCTTTTAATTGCTTTAAAAATAAAAGTTTTGACAAATTATTAGACTATAATTTGAAAACAACATAAGGTGGTATGGATTATCCAAATTTTGATTTTAAATAAATCCAATTAGTATTATATAGCAACTTGGTAGCAATCAGATCCCCCAAGGAGTAGCTGATCTATGTTGTTTGCTTAGAATTTATCCCATGCAAAGCTATGAAAGAGGCAACATTAATATGTCGTTCAATTTCATTCTTCTCATCCTGATATTTAGGTATATATCTGTAAGTCAATCATCAGATTATGACAAAAAATTCTTTAGTAACATCTGAAATGCGTAATGTCTTTCTTCTAGGTCACTATATCTACTTTGAAAGTTCGTCGCCTGTCAAAACTGGGCAACAAGGGACAGTGGAAAGTAAGATATTTGGGCCAACTAAGGCAACTTGTATGTCATTCTATTTCTCGATGTACGGAGATACAATGGGAAAGTTGACAATTTATATAGAAGACATAAGCAAGCCGCCGCAGAATAACAGAAAAAAAGTTTGGGAGAAGATTGGAAACCAAGGAATATCATGGCAAAATTCTAGAGTCACAATTTACAGCAATTCTCCTTTCAAGGTAATGACTGAGTTTTTTTTTTTGGGGGGGGGGGGGTAGTGGAGTTGTGGTAGGAGTGGGTGTCGTGGAAAGATAAAATGGTGTTGAAATTATTCAGCAGACGAGAATCAAGGAAGTGTTAAAAGTGATAAATATTTAAATTGAAAAGCTACACTACTGCAGAGATCATCCCAAATTTAGACTTGTTTTTGCTCGGTACGTATACTCTCGTTTATAGAGTGAATGCAAAGCACGAATAAATTCCATTTGCGATCTGAACAGCAGCGGGCGAAACAATGCATATGAACCTTCATTTAATCTTCGAAATCTGTAATTATCCAAAACTTAGCCAAAATTAGCATCCTCTTGTGAGTTTCTTTCATTGCTTAGTTTGTACACCACATTTATAGAAACACATTGAAAATTTTCATTTCTCACCATACATTAAAAAGAAGGGTAAAATGCGTACTTCGATTTGCGTAGTCTTGATGGGCAATCAAGAACTTATGGGTTTGCATAATCATCTGCAGTGAATCAGATTGGGAATGTACATGTGCATGGTGGTCGTGTGACTGGTTTCAGGCAGACTCTCAGCTGCGAAAATGAGATTGAAACTTGTTTCATGATCCTCTTTGCCCTTTTTCTTTATGTTTTATTATCTAAATTATTTAACAGATAAAAGTGAAGGCAGTGTCAAACGTCAATAAATAGATAAAGGAATGCTAAACCATGCATGGAAAGAGCATCCCAAAGTTACATTGATTTTGCTCGTTACTTTGGTGTGCGACCAAAACACGTGAACAAATTCACATAGTGCATGGAAAGTGGGCTTAATATTGCACATTCCGTAGTGAGCCAAAGTTTTCTCACTTGTTTAAAGCATCCTCTTTCGAGTCTCACTAAATCAGTTGAATAAATGCGTTAGAATGGTGAACGTTAAATAAATATTTGGAAAGCAATTTCTATATTAATTATAGTCGTGAACTTGAGAGACCTTGAAAATACTAAACTTAATAAGGCATATGTTCTACGCCGAATTGGTAGAAATTTGATGAAATGTTTTCATTTGTCCTCATATATTAAACGTAACCCACAGCCATATTATTTACATCGATTTCAGTTGGGTAACTCAACAATTTCTATCTGTTCTTAATATCAGCTAGATATCTAGCTAATATGTTTCGAAGGAGAAGAAAATTTTAGAAGAATTACCATTAAAATTATAGCTGTAATTAGTTATAGAAAATAGACATTTTTTTTGTTCATTAGATGCTCTTCATTGCTACCAAAGGTTCTAGTTATAGAAGTGATATAGCATTGGATGATATTACTTTTAAAAACCAGCCGTGTTTACCATCGATAAGTACTACAACAATTCCAAGTATAACTGGTAAGTATTCATTTAATTTTTAGTATTTCTTTTTTCATTATTTTTTTTATTATTTCGGGTAAATATTTCGAACTATATTTTTGAGATACATGACAACAAGAGGGAAATTTGTCGTCGCTGACCAAAAAATCGCCAGCAGAAACAGAACCCATTGCATTCACGTCAGTGATTTACATTCAAAACAAAGCATGGCAGAAAGTTAGCAAGAATATTTTTACAAATGAAAAATCCCCTAAAATTATTACTTTTAATTAATTACAGAATTATCAATTTCCCAAACATATATATGTTAGGTATATTAATAATTATTATAATAAATATAAGCTTCAATTTAAGGTAAAATTCAACCAGAAACGATTCGCAAAACGTTTTAAAGTGTTCCTTTAATATATGACTAAACTGCCTTTATCGATAAACTTTGAGTTTGAAGTAAAATGATTCCAAATTCTCGCATGCAATTAACTTTGCTTATTTTAATAAAAATGGTAATTAATAAAGAAACACTGAAATAATATGCTGTCTTGTTTCATATTTATACGCAACGATCGGCTTTTAAAGTAATTACAGTATATTAAAAGCAAACAATGCATCAATATTTAAAACAAACTTACCTTCTCGGCGCCTTTACTCCCTTCTTTTAGCAATTATTTCGTCTTTATTTTATCAAAAACCTTTTGAAATTTACAAAATCTTGCAAAAATGAAATATATTTGCACGAAAACATCAAATCAAGAAATGTTTGCTATTTCGCTGTCGTCCTGCAATCGTTATAATGCAAATCTTGAATTGGACCAATCAGTGTTGGCTATTCATGACAGTGCGCTATATTATGAGATCAGTCAGGATGACGACCGACGCACAGTGACCCACACCCCTGATTATTGATCAACTTTAGTCTTCGCTAATGCTTTCGTTTCCCCGTGTGTAAATAGCCCGGCGGAATTAATACCCGCACGGCGCTTCGCGACGTTGGCTCGGGGATAAAATGCATGACGTGCCTTTATTTTCATGTAAACAATCAAAAATATTTCAACAGTAAAGTAACAACTGTTTCAGATCGAACGCACACGGACAGTATACCAGGGACAATGACAGGGTACTGAAATGGCATGTCACTAACATGATTAGTTTAGCCATCATGTCCATTTTTAACATAAAACAGTCACAACAAATATCATCATTAACACCACAAATATCATATTCACCTGAGTACACTACACCAACACAGAAAATATTCATATTACTAGAATACATTGGTATCGAAGGAACTAGATACTGTTCCTAAATATCACTTACTCGAACCGTCCTGACCGTGTAGCTCAGTTGGAAGAGCACTGAGCTAGTTTTCCAAAGGTCGTAGGTTCGAATCCCACCGTGGCCGGGCATGTTTTTCAAGCTCGCCCGGTGTGGATATACACTCAGAGTAACACCACAAATATCATATTCACCTGAGTACACTACACCAACACAGAAAATAGTCACTTATTTTGTACCAAACATTTGCCATTATTTTAATACACATGCAATTGCGCCTTTTTGTAAACACGCGCTGCGTGTATTGCGTGGCCGCTTTTGCTAGCGCATGCGCAGACAAATTTCTCACTTGTTATACATGACAGTTTCTATAAGGTGCTCAAATATTCTGTACATTAAAGAGGCTCAAATTTGACTTTTACTACAAACGCCCTTCGTCGACTTAATACGCATTTGATTGGTGAACCAGGAATAGATTAAACGCATTTGTTTGGCTAATGATAGCGGTATAGGTAGTAGAAGACAGAACCTGAACATCAGCATAGTAACTTTTACAAGGCAAACTTTTAGTTGCCAGAATAATGCAAAGTATGTCCACAAGGATCTAACTTAGTTTTGAAATGTTTTTTGACGGAACTTGAGAGTATCATAGTCTTAGTGTTACGTCACTGCCCCTGAATTTCGATTAAAAATGTATTATTGCACGCTATAGAACCCAGTCCGTAATGGGGGCAAGAGCTTGAAAGGCATAGTTTTAAAGTTGTTACTTTTGAATGGCGAATAAAAAAATGAAATAAAAAATTATTCAGAGCATGGCTTATGTTGTCCACATCATGTTTTGAATTGACCTTGGTCCGACAAATACTTGACATAATATTGAGCTTTATCCAATAATTTGTAACATATATATTAATAAATACCGTAAACGTGGTGTTGCCACCAACCAAACTTGTCCCGGGGCGCGGTTACTAATTCCGCATTAGCGAAGTCTAAAGTTCATCAATGATCGCGGGCGTGGGTCACAAACCGTGGGTGGTCATCCAGACTGATCTAAAAAATATGGCTGTTTGCCAGGAGTGGGATAAATAAGATTTCAATTTTCAAAAGCATTTATTTGGAAAATCACCCGTTTCACACAATGAGCTTTGAAGCAATTTTTGTTTGAAGAAATGAGAAGAATTGATTTACTTTGGAAAATCGTGGAATATTGGGCAAGTTTGCTTTGAAATGTTTAATGTTTATGAATTTTGTTGCTTTAATTTATTGCATAAAAAACATGCACTACTTTCCTTTTCAATGAAGCTGTATTACAGTTTGCTAAATTGCCATGTTTAATTTAAGAAGAAAAGGTAAAATGTAAAAGAGAGCAAATTAATTTCAAAACCGAACTGAAATTACTGAACAATTTGAATTTATTTTGTTTTATAAAGTAAAAATTAAACAGTTTATCGGAAAAAGCAATTTATAGTTTAATATTATAAAAATGAACGTTTCAAAACATTTTACGAACCAATTCAGGTTAAATTTTACATTAAATCAAAGCTCACAGAATGCAGAACAACGTACCTACAGTACATATTTGAGAAATTCATTGTTATATTTTTAACAGCAATAATTTTTCAACTATTTTTGGCGTGTTGACACAGATTAATAGAACTTAATCTGTGGTATTGACGTTGTACAAAAAATGTAATAAAAATTAAATTTATCCAACACTGACGTAAACGCTAGCCTGCGTTCAGTGTTGATCAATTACTAATACTTCATGTTAAATCAATGTTTGGAAAATACATGCGAGGGGTTGGTGCATGCATGTACAGCAATTTTCGTCCAAGCACAAACCGCAAACATTTTCGCGCGTTTGTTTACTTTTGAAACGGGGCGTTTACCGTTGGAAACGCAAATGTTTCACTGCTCATTCGACATGTTATAGTGAAAAGCCTAATTCAGTTATTTTTCATGTTTTGATGTGCTTTCGTGTACTTTTCAGTGTTTCCAAGCTCACGATATTGTAAGAGCGGCCAAACTTGTTTATATTCATACTTTTTGTGACTAGAACGTATTATCATGGGCTGGAAAATATTGAAACGTGCACGGAGGCACATCAAAACATGACAGTTGCGCCAAAAATAGCTTAAGGCTTTTCAATGTGAAACGTCATATGAGCGGTGAAACATTTCAGTTTCCAACGGTAAACGCCCCGTTTCAAACGTAAACAAACGCGCGAAAATGTTTGCGGTTTGTGCTTGGACGAAAATTGCTGTATTTCTAGTATAACACTATTGCAATGCGAAAATACACATCTTATAAAGTACATATAATACACACCTTTTCTTGTTTACAACATGTCATTGATCTCCCCAGTAGGTTTGTGCTAATCACGCCGTTCTGGATATCTTCCATTACCTTTATTTGTACCTGGCAGATTAATGCATTATGCAATGGTAAATAAGACCCACTTATATATGTTGTTGTTTGCCTTGTCCTGACCTAGGTCAAGACAATTGCGATTTTAACAATGGATGGTGTATATGGCGTAATGTTAATAAATTGTGGTATCGGCAGTCAGGAGGAACAAAATCTTATAGAACTGGTCCTACGGGAGATAACAGTGGCCTTAAAGGAGGTGAGTGTACACGGATTGATTTGTGAAGCTGAGTTTACGCTATGAGACTTTGTCCTGAACTTTGATAAGCTTAAGCTTAGATCGTTATTTCGATAGTCAAAACAAACCATGACCAAGCCAGAACAGCTTAGCCCACTGATAGATATCTTCGGTCTGGAGACTGGAGTTAGCGAAAGTCAGATTTGGGGAAATTTGAACACACTCTCCAATTTTTTTATATGATGGAACTGTCTCTAAGCCGCATTTTTAAACTTCATTGTTGAAGTAATTCGGACGACAGCCTTACAAAATAATCGTTTTACTAATTACAATGCTTTGGAGTGTAACTCCATCTTCAGGTTTATAAAATGATACGATGAGAAATCCAATCAAGAACAATGAATTTTTTTAAATCCCTTTGTTAAAAAGGTTTTATTATTTTTTGTAACTCTTTTAAATCAGGGAATGAAGTTGTAATTCAATAAAGAATTATTGGCTTAGTTATATGCTGATGGCTTAAACACTGAAATGTAAAGAGTGTTAAGGTCACTTACCTTGGTTATGCTTTAGTTCAGCTTTAAATAGGACAAGAATCGCAGTCTTAACACGGCTTAATACATCGTGCATATAGTACGGACTCATGTTACTTTGTCACACTGCTTGTTCCAGGGCACCCGAAACCACGTGTGCAGCTGCTCAAGCAGCGCAATTTGCCTTTCGTAATCACAACATTTTGGCTGCATTGCAGTTGGAGACTTCGTTGCATCCATCGTCTGCACAGCATTGCACCCAGAAAGTTACGATTACAATAGGTAAATTGTGCACTTGCAGCCGCTGAACTCGTGGTTCTGACAGCTCTGGTCTTTCTCCAATTGCAATCGTATGTCTTGTCTTTTCTCAACCGCACCTAGTTTGTCCATGCAATGTTGTCCACCCAACGATTAATATAACTCTCGTGCCTTTTAATTGCTATAAAAAATTAAAGTTTTGACTAAATATTTGACTATAATTTAGGAACGACATAAGGTGGTATGGATTGTTCAAATTTTGTTTTTAAATAAATACAATTAGTATTATATAGCAACTCGGTAGCAATCACATGCCCAAGGGGTAGCTGATCTATTTTGTTCGCTTAGAATTTATCCCACAGAAATGAAAGAGGCAACATTACTATGTCGTTCAATTTCATTCTTCTCATACCGATATTTAGGTGTATATCTCTAAGTCAATCATCAGATTATGACCTAAGACATCTTTAGTAACATCTGAAATGCGTAATGTCTTTCCTCTAGGTCATTATATCTACTTTGAAAGTTCGTCGCCTGTAAAAACTGGGGAACAAGGCATTGTGGAAAGTAAGATATTTGGTCCAACTCAGGCAACATGTATGTCATTCTACTTCTCGATGTACGGAGATACAATGGGAAAGTTGACAGTTTATATAGAAGAAATAAACAAGCTGCCGCCGCAGAATAACAGAAAAAAAGTTTGGGAGAAGATTGGAAACCAAGGAATATCATGGCAAAATTTTAGAATCACAATTTCCAGCAATTCTTCTTTCAAGGTAATGACTGAGCTTTGGGGGGTAGGAGTTGGTGTCGTGGAAAGATAAAATGGTATCTTCTTAGTCTGTTAAAGTGTGGTATAACCAATCATGAAGCCGGATTTGCACAAATCATCTCCAGGGAATAAGATTTGGAATGTGACTGGTCTCACACAGAAGTTAACCTGAGAAAGTGGAATTGTAATTCGCTCCACAATCTTCTTTTTCCGCTTTCTTCATGATTTCGTTGCTGGAGTATTCGCTACGTTTTTTGAAATTATTCAGCAGACAAGAATCAAGGAATTGTTAAAAATGATAAATATTTGAATGAAAATGCTACACTACTGCAGATATCATCCCAGAGTTAGACTTGTTTTTGCTCGATATACTTTCGCTTTCAGTGTGAATGCAAAGCACGAACAAATTCCATTTGCGATCTGAACAGCAACGGGCGAAACAATGATATCAACCTTAATATCGACATTCAATCGGGCGAAACAATGATATCAACCATATTATCTGACATTCAATCTTCCAAAACGTTGCCAAAATTAGCATCCTCTTGTGAGCTTCTTTCATAGCTTAGTTTCTACACCACATTTATAGAAACATATTGAAAATTTTTCTTTCCTCACCATACATTAAATAGAAGAGTTGCCTCATTATCCACAACGATTTAAGTAACAGGAACTACAGTACAATAAAGTGATTAAACTGGTTAGGCGACTTTTGTCTGGTGTCTATAAAATTTGATATTGACCTACAATATACTTAAGAACGACAACAATTTTTAGAAAAGGTATAAAATTGCTGCATTGGGTTATTTTATTTTAAATCTTTATTAATTTGTTTTAGATACTCTTCATTGCTACCAAGGGTTCTAGTTATCGCAGTGATATAGCGTTGGATGATATTACCTTTAAAATCCAGGCATGTTGAACCATGATAAATACTACAAATATTCCAACTACACCGGGTAAGTATTCTTCCAAATTTTTCCATTACATCACTGAGACTTTCTAAGGTATTCAAATGTTTTATAATGTGTAACTCGTGAATTTTTAGAGCACAATCTTTTAGTTCGAGAATGATGCGAAACATTCCTATAAATATTTCAGTTTTCGCGTTTCTATACAGTTATACATAGAAATACACGCAGACGTTTCAGACGTTTGGGAGAACGAGAACTAATCTGTGGAAAAGGGGGCAGAAGGGCGAATTTTTCACGTTATTTCAAATTTGACCACGTTATTTCCACGCTATTTTTTATGACTTCTCAAGGCTTCCATCATAATAATTCTTGATATTATGCTTAGATTTACCCACTATGCTGAAAATATAGGACTCGATAAACAACGAAAATAACGCTGCCTCAAAGAAGTCATATTCATAGCTATTTGATGAACACCTCCTATTTTTTGTGTAGAAAAAAAGAATCGCCAATTGCAGAACAGACGAACGCTTGAACAACAAAAATAGTTTCTTACTAATAATTATTCTTTCGCAAATTTTTTTAATTATTTTGAATAACCACAATAATGTCGTTTAAGTAGTATTTGTAAGTTAGCATTAAAAAGTTAGATTTACGGTATTGTAAATTTGAGAAAAACGTCTATTAATAACGTTTTCTTGCATAGTTGTTATCATTCAATACTTATTTTTATCATTTCTTCTTATACAGTAACTCGATTTCTTCTTATCACTCGATTTCTTAGTCAGACAAAACCGTCCTACTATATTTGACATGTCATGGGGAATTCATTGAATTGCAAAGTCATAGTATATAGTTTAAGGCTATATGTCGAATGGTTGACCACAATGGTTTCACACCTGGACCATTTTAGATATATTTGTAGTGAGCAGCGTTAGCGCTGTAGATGAGAGAACATTTGGCTGATTGGGCTGACTGGCAATGAAATGCACCCGTTTTCAAAAATAATAATCGTCTGGCCCGATAACGCGCCTACGTTTAATTTCCATCAGCGTAGTTCTGGCGGTGTTTCGTTAACCTTGATGTAAAATATGGCATTTAATTATTCCATTGTAAACCATAAAATCTTTGCAACTTAATTTAGCTTCAGAGTTCGTAACTATATTCTCTTCGGCTCCTAAATAGGACTTCTTTACTGGTCGAATAAATCGTAAAACAATAGATATCAGATCACGATCGATAATGAGCTTCTGGAAACTGCTAAACCTCCATACGTCAATAGTGTACTGGACCTAGTAATATATTTCCAGGGTCGTCGCTAGAGGGTGTGTGTATGTGAGGAGGAGGGATATTTCACTCCAGTCGTATTATTGAAACCATGTCGGAAAACATTGAAAGAAAATATTGAAACCATGTCGGAAATTGTTCGTAGTCAGCAAAACATATGAATTGGATAAGAAGGGAAAAAACTAAAATACCTGAGTGACAATGATCAAAAACTAATAATTATAGCTAAGGAAAAATTAAACAGAAAAGGGTACGGTTACCCCAAGGATATTAAAAGTGTAATTTCTGGGAATATGAGTTCATGTATATTCGCCTACAACCCCCCCCCCCCCCCCCCCCCCCCCCCCCCCCCCCCTCCAACTGCTCGCGAACTATTTTGGGAAAAGAAAGTGCTTTAGGTGAGTCGGAAAAAACGTCACTCTCCCCCCAATAAAATAGGGTTAGCGACGCCTTAAGTGCTTAAGAGTGAAGAAGTATTCTGAAATGCTTTTCAATCGTTGGCCCTCATTCCTGTTATACATTTCTCACCTCTATTTCTTCCCACCCAATGTCCTTTAGCATCCGTTGAGGACCATTTATTGTAAGGGGAGGTTCATGTCCAAATTTGATGGAGTGAGGAGTAAAATTCAAAATTTGGACGCAAAACTGGAATTTTAACAGTCGATCTCTCAAAACTGGTTTTCGAACTTATACGAACTGCCTCTCTTACATTTCTCGTTACCATTTTTATGAAAATTAACCATTTATGGCATATGTCTGGCTTTGGGTACGTTGTATGCTTTTTGCCATATTTTTGCATATCTACTTTCAAACAGAAGTTATATTAAAATTTGGAATTTCAGTTGACGAGTAGGTATAACAAAAACCGGCTATTTTAATGCATTGTTCGAGTTTAGAGAAGGTTTAAGACTCAAAAGATGAATTGCCGTTCAGTTTTTTCTTGCTAGAATAGAATATAATAGAATGCAATAGAATAGAATAGAATAGAATAGAATAGAATAGATTAGAGTAGAATAGAATAGAAAATTCATTTCACGAGGGAAAAAACGCATTAACCGTAAAAGTTACCTAACATACGGCCCTCGCACTATTGTGATATTTATAGGCATAAGAAGTATTAAAGATTACGACTTTTTACATTTGAGAAAAAAATAATTAGTAATGAATACAATTACAGTTTAGTAAACATTTACAATTTATACAAAATAGATCTTCGATATGGTTAGTAAGGTTAAGCTTGATAAGAAAGATTTTACAAATTTTTTGTTTGGCGGTAGTATATAAAGAGCAAGATGGCGAAGCAGCAGGTTGCTTACAATCGCTATCTAAGCAATTGAAAAGAATGGAAGCACTGTACAAAAATGTTCGTTTACCAGAGTCAGTACGCGGGAAGGGGGGTTGAAGGTCATATGCGCAAGCTCTAGTCAAATAGAAGATAAGAATTTAAACATTTGCTTAAATGAAGATCGAGCGCTGGGATTTGTGAGAATGTTAACCGGTAAGAGAAGTTTTCTAAATTTAACAAGATCAAAGATTGGGATTATTCGAATCTGAGAAAAAAGAAGAACAGAAAGAGTAGAAAAGTCAGCGTCTAGAATAATACGTGCTGCACGCTTTTGCAGTCGAAGAATGCGAAGTAAAAGTGTTTTTGAGCAGTTTCCCCAAGTTACAGAGCAGTAGATAAGACTTGAATTAATATAGGAGTTATAGAAACGAAGAGCACAGCCTTTAGTTAAAAAGGGTTTAATCCTGCGTAATAAAGCAAGTCTACTATTGATTGTTGAACACAAGTTGTCAATATGCTTGGTCCAAATTAAAAACTCTTCAAGCGTTAAACCCAACACTTTTGCTTGGTTCACCTGTGCAAGTGTGTTGCCATTAAGAGTAACTGATAGAGAACGATCTGAAGTATTCTTAAGTTGTTGGGGAGAATGAATGAGCATGGTCTTGGTTTTCAATGTATTAGTCACCATTTGGTTTTGTTGAGTCCATGTTGAGAGATCTTGAGCAACAAGGTTAAGTTTCACATTTAAATCATGAATGGAAGAACCTTCTGTTAGAACGGTTGTGTCATCTGCAAACATTGTGGATTCTGAGTGCGAAAGTTGAGAAGGGAGATCATTGATAAATAAGATAAAAAGAAGGGGGCCAAGAGTACTTCCTTGAGGAACACCTATCTTAACAGGACGCATATCGGATAATGTGTTTTTGAAATAAGTGCGTTGATAACGATCACTAAGATATGACGTAAACCATTTCAATACTAATGGAAAACATCCGAAGATTCTAAGTTTCGGAATTAGGATTTCATGATCAACAAGATCAAAAGCCTTTTTGAAATCAACAAGATGAAGTCGATTTAATTTTTTGTTATCAATATTAGTTAAAATTTTATCAGTAAGATGAGTGACTGCTAATTCACATGAGCGAGATGTTCTAAACCCAAATTGATTTTCAACAAGAAGATTATACTCAATTAGGAAGTGATAAAAAGAATTATGAACAAGGCGTTCAAGTATCTTAGAGATAACGGCCAAAACTGAGATAGGGCGAAAGTTGGAACGTACGGTCAAAAAGCGAACCCGATTTGAAAAGAGATGAAACCTTTGCAATTTTCCACAAGTCAGGAAAACTAGCCGAATTAATACTGAGATTATATATCTTTGTCAGAGCAAGTGAAATAGCTGTTGCAGCTATTTTAAGAAAATATGCACCAATTCTATCTAAACCAGCGGCAACCATTCTGCGTGGAGAAAATCGTCCACAAGTGGTTTGATTGAACCGTCATTTGGAAGAAAAGTCACGTGATCGCAAACAAAGAATTGCTGGCAAAAACAAGTGTTCCATATATCTGTTGATTCTATGGTGTCAGATTACAGTCCGAAGTTCCGAACTGAACAAAAATGTCTCAGCATCTGGCTGGAGTTCTGCATACTCGAAAAGTATATGGGTTCTGCATATTGGATTGAACAGCCGTTACATGTTCCAAATTTTGTAAATTTTTATGATCAGCTATTGTATGGAGTTCCCCCTTAATCTGCAGGTTTGAAGTGCTAGTGCGAACTGTTTCGATTACAGTGCTTAGGATCAGTCCAACAAGTTGGATAATCAAACTTTAGGCTTTTTTTCAGAGGCTCTATAACAGTTGAAACAAGTCTTGCTAGTTTGACTGCTGAAAGAAATTTTAATCTTAGGATGATCTGCTTGTTAATCGTTCAGTGCGGACGGGAGAAGAGAAGGCGGCAGCGAGGAAACGACTGCCTAAATGGCTATGGCAAATGTGTTTTTGACAGAAAAAACCTCGATTTAATTCCAATTGTTCAATTTCATTAACTCAAATGTCAACAATAATTTTGCCCGCGTATATATATTCTAATAAAAATATGGCTATTAATGCTTTGGAGGGAACTCTTTCTGATATTTCAAGTCTTTTAGGTCTCGAAATTCAGTTGAAACTAGAAGAGAGAAAGTCGACTATTAATTTGCTACGTGGTGAAAACGTAATCGCGACTCTTCCAACGGGATACGGAAAAAATTTGATGTTTCAATTTTGTTATTTGCAACGGCAGAATACGTTAAACAACCGTGGTTCAGTAGCCTTTTAAAGAATAAAAGCTCTGTCTTGTCTAAATAAAATAGCATAAAATCTCCCTAGTTGCCGCGCAAAAAGCAGGCATGATGCTAAATATAAATCTCAACTATGATTGGGCAATGGGTGAACCGGTGAAGGTGTTAATTACAAAACGTCAATGACCCTTAATGGACGAAAACACATTAGTCATGGCCATGTGGGCAGGCGATTCCTCTACGACGCCCACCGCTTTCCTGCAGCCCGCACTAAACGCCTACGCCGGCTATTAATCGGAAAGACTCTTGTTTTGGCAGTAACGTTAACAATTTTTATATGATTTATGCTCCCATCAAGGAAGTCATTACCACGCGGCTGTTGCTTTTTTTGAATATGACTTACCCTCAGTACGCACAACATTAAACATAACTGCATGTTGTTGACCGATCGATAGGGGTATCTTCATTTTGCCTTATTCTTTGTTCAATAGGAGAGTTAGACAGGAACTTTCAGAAATTGAATCCGCCCTCACTTAGTAGTTGTTTTGATTTAATTAATATACAGTCATCCCCCGCTCCAGAACTGTGATCATTCATGTAAATGTCACTCAGAAACGTGTGTACAAACTTCGGGTTTTCTTCACGATGTTTCTCAATGCAATGTTTGATTGTCTCATCACGCCGGTAATATTCACTCGAAAATTTTCACCCAGCACAGCAGACTCATATTTTGACGTCCGATGAAAAATAAAAGCTTTTTACACAGAGCTGCCATTTTTGTGCGAGATATCCGCAGGAAATATGAGCCCGCAAAAATTGGAGATAATTTGTCAAATTTGACCAACGTGCATTTAACTGAAATGGACTAGCAGTCGAACACGGTATTGTTCCCTGATTCGCAGGCTGACTTCTCATTTAAAGTCAGGCTGCACGCAGGCTAGCAGTCGCCCCGTGCAAATGGTGATTCCAGCTATAGACTAAATTTTGATCAAGCCAAGAAGAAAAAATCCATCACCACAGCTAGGACGAGCATGTTAGAATGAGGAAAATATAGTGCTACGAAATTTGAAAATTTTGTATTAATTTCTTTTATTAATACGTACGAGAATTTGCATTGCAGTACTTTCGGAAAAAAATGGTGCATTTTCCCGAGCGTAATACAAATTAATACAAAATTTACAAATTTTACAGGGCTATATTTTCCGCATTGTACGACATTTCGCGGCCAAACTTTCCAATTTTACATTTTTACTAAATTTAACATGCACTTCCCAGCTGTGGTGATGGATTTTGTTTTTCTTGCATAGATCAAAATTTAGTCTATTGCTGGAATTGACCATTGATCTATCGCAATCTTTGGATCTTCCATAGTGATAGCGTCAACGCAGAGACATCTCAAGACATCTCGATCTTCGTTTGCAATGGCAATCATCAAAAGGCCTTTTCGATATCCCCAATTAATGTTGTTGGGTGACACTCAAATATTAGCAGAATGTCTACAACATTTTCGACAAGTGATGAACCAGACTACGAGCGAGAAATCATTAAGATGGGGTCCTCGAATTTCACAGAGCCGTGGTAGACTACTGCAATTTCGTGATTTTCTTCTTACGGCGAAATGATATTCTGGAAGTAATGGACACGACTTGCATTGGTGGTTGATGTTTCCTCAACATTTTCTATGTTTCCGCTAACTGTCTGCTCACGAATGATGTAATCGTATTCCCACAGGGTTTTCGTATCTTGTTGGAATCCTCTAGAAGGCATTCTATATCCTTTTTAGACTAAGCCAGTAATTGTCTGGTTTGGTGACTTGGTCACTTGGTTATCTTTCCACCGTATGTGAACTCCATATTGACAATCTCGGTGGGTCACAGTATTCAGAAACTCGCTCTTCAAAAGAATAATGCTCTTCAGGACTGATACCAAGTGACTCCATAGTGGGCGCTATATATGTTGACATTGGAATGAGTTCGCTTGCATGGTACCCCTTTAGTAAGTAAGTAAGCAATTTCCTAAGAAACCTCCTTCACAGGCATCAACTTTAGATAATTACAAATATGAATGAACATTGATTATTTTTGCACCTACAATGGATGGCCGGAATTTAACAAAACCTATGGTAGAAGTGTTCATATTCAATAGTTATTAATCAAACAAATTTATACAATTGGCATTGTTGCTGTATTTTATTAGACGTTATTCGATTATTATTACTCAAGATTATTCCACATTATGCATATCAAATGAGCTTTCGCGCGTTCTGATTGGCTAGTTGACTAGTAAATCTGACGCATTATTTACCACCTGACTAGTAAATAATGCTTTACAAAAAGAATGATTCGGCAAATTCGGTTTCAAAATCGACGAAATATTGAAAGAGTCGTCCCCAGAAAACAAAAAAGCACAAACTGTTGTATTTGACTTGAAAGGTAGGATTCCTTTATTATTTTACTGTGTCAAATATATTCATGGACAATTTAAAACTTATTTAAAACTCAGAAACATTCACTTAAAACAAATAGCAAAAACTATATATCCCGACTGTTGGGCAAAACCTTGCTGTGATGTTCTTTTAAAACCTTTTTGTTTCGTATCCTATACCGGCATATCTCGATTTATGTGATACTATTTTTTTATATGTTATGTTTTCATTGTGCTGTAGCTATGTTTTACAAACTTCTAAACTGAAAAGCGTTTAAAACTTTATTTCGAGGCATTCGTTGATTCGAGCAATTGTTTTAGGCTATTAGTAAAACGCGGAGCACGGAGCACACGGAGCACGGAGCACGGAGTAAGGAGCACATGGAGCACGGGTGCACACGGAGCACACGGAGCACGGAGCACACGGAGCACGGAGCACACGAACTACGGAGCAGTAGAAAAACGAAAATCCTTTATAATAAAATACACTGTTTACTATTACAAATTTTTGTTCTTACTAATAAAGTTTTTTCGCGTTTTACACGTTGAGGAAGTAGAAAAATGGGGCTTTTACTGCACATATGATGCAAAACTGCCAAAAGCCATAGTATTTAAAATAGGATTGTGCCTGTGAAAGTCGTTATCTCATATCTATCAAGCTTATGAGTTATGTAGTTATATTATATTCCGATGGCCAACGCATTAAGAAACACTTAGAGAACAGCCGATATATTTCGTTATCCCTGCCAAAAAATAGCCAAGTACTCATCTTTCAATGTAGCGGATTGACTGAACATTATAAAAGCTTGTCATGGAGAGAAGTGAATTTTCGGTTTATCCTTCGTCCCAGTGACCAGTGAGCAGTGTGCTGTACGGCCTACGCCGGTTTAAACCGTTATACATAATTACTGCTTTCATTCTTTCAATCCGTTTTGAATATTCGGAATCATTCACTATTATATTATAAAACTGTATAAGATAGCTGTAGAACTATAAATGCTGTAGAATAAGTAGAAGTTTTATCGCTGTATTTGCCGATAAATCGGTAACCGCTACAGAAAAACAGAACAAATTACAGTAAATCACAACAAACCGCGGAAGTGGGACAATTTTTGTATTTTTACTGTAAGACATGCAGAACATGTACGAAATCCATACAGAAGTGTGTGTGTATCAGTTCTATACTTTTGAAACAACTAAATCAGACTTCGGAAAATTTGATAGTATTAAAGCTACTTTTGAGAATTTAGATTTTAGGTCTTTGTTTTACATGCATGTACCCAGTAAATATTTTTGAGTTTTGAACTTTGATTCTCACAAGCTTACAATTTGTTTACAATTTACTCTGCCTCTGGCTCTGCCGTACAGCACGGCAGAGTTGATCGGAATTGTAACAAATACGCGTACACTTAAATGGCTTCCTGAATTTAGTCAATCAGATGTGTAAAAATTACTCGTTTCAATTTTATGTTGATGCTCGAAACGGCTCATGTTTACAATAGCAATTATAACAATCTTGCCCTCCTTTTCGCCTTTGAGGCGTTGGTGTTGATTTATACACAAAATTCAAAACTCAAAAATATTTACTGGTCTGGGTAGAAACGAAAATAAGGCTCTGCTCGCAGGGTAGGTACATGTAAAACGAAGACCTAAAATCTAAATTCCCAAAAGCAGCTTTAATACGATCAAATTTTCCGAAGTCTGATTTAGTTGTTTCAAAAGTATAGAATACACACACACTTCTGTATGGATTTCGTACATGTTCTACATGTCTTACAGTAAAAATACAAAAATTGTCCCACTTCCGCAGTTTGTTGTGATTTTAATACTGTAATTTGTTCTGTTTTTCTGTAGCGATTACCGATTTATCGGCAAATACCGCGATTTGAAAACTTACTTTTCTTTATTTATTTCATTCTACAGCATTTATAGTTCTACAGCCACCTTATACAGTTTTATAATATTGTGAATGATTCCGAATATTCAAAACGAATTGAAAGAATGAAAGCAGTAATGATGTACTGTATATTATAACGGTTTAAACTTAGCCGGCCGTACAGCTAACTGCCACCGGTCATTGAGCCGAAGGATAAACCGAAAATTCACTTTTCTCATCACAAGACTTAATGTTCAGTCGATCCGCTACATTGAAAGATGAATGTACTTGGCTATTTTCTGGCAGGGGTAACGAAATATATCGGCTGTTCTCTACAGTAAGTTTTTCTTTATGTGCACTGTAAAAACTGATAGGTTAAAATAACCTATTTGTAAAGGTTATCACTTATATAAATAGGTTGTTTTAACCAATTGAATAGGTTATAACCAAAATAAATAGGTTAAAATAACCAATTATTTTTTGGTTAATCTCTAACATTTGGGTACAACTAATATAAATAGGTTATTTAACCAATTGACCAAAGTAAATAGGTTAAATAACCAATTATATTTTGGTTAATCTTGAACAATACAACTAATATAAAAACAAGTGAACGAAACTCTAAAGATCGATAACATTTTTATATTTATCAATGGAGTTTCACTTGTTTTGTATTTTGTAAAATACTCAGTAGTTCAAAAAATTATTGTATGACAATTTTAATAGGTTGTTATCTTGGGTGTTTAGCCAATACTGATAACAATAGCCATGCAGGTTGTTTTAAATATTTTTATAATACTAATCATAATACATAAACTTTGTACGTGGCAAATCATGTCAACCATTAATGAGTTAAATTATAAACCAATAATAATTGCTCAAAAGACAAAACAGTTATAGGCAATTATAGATTTATAGGCAATATTAGTTCAGTACGTCATAATCTTTGTTAATAAGATTAGAAAATGCATCTTATTTTTACATATTTATACTGATTATATAGTATACTATATACAGCACTGTACAGACCAAACATTGAATTGTTTATCACAGTCATTTCAACATATAGTATGCATTCAAGCAGGAACCACACCACCATAAATCATCTTTTAATCTCCACGACTCCACGTATGGGGCGGTGGGGGGGGGGGGTTAGGCTGGCTATTTATGGGAATGAATAGTGAAAAGAGGTGGAGTTTTAGCAATTGACATGAATATACAATTACCTAAAAAAATACTACTTTAATAGTTGGTCTGTCATAAAGTCATAAACTGAGTATAAACTGAGTTTATAGTGATCTAATGTATTTTCGTGTGCCTTGGGAGGGCATGTGGGGAGGTCTAGTCTCCAGAACTAAAATATTTAAAATATGTATGTACCTTATATCGCGTCGTAAATTCTTTAATTATTGGCATGCAAGGAAGATATTACAAGACAGCTAGAATTTTGAAGATGGAATTAAGAGTTTCAGTCGAAAAACAGAGATACAGGATTATTTGAACTGGATTGTTCACATTATTGAGATCAGTGCGTTCAGTCAATCGCGTTGCCAAATATGGGCTCCCATAAGGCTTAGCGAGCACACTCCGAGCGCGTCCTTTGGAAATTTTATTTTAACGTCGGTTGATATAGCCAAGATTTCTTAACATATTGAAGAAAATAAGAAGTAATACTCCAATTTTTGAAGATAAAGACAATAATTTTAAATGTAAGTGTTCAACTATGTCAATATTTTTAAGTTTCGTGTGTAAATATGTGCCATAAATAGTAATATATTCATGTATATTTTAACCGCCGTGCGTTGGCCGCATGTATATTTGTGTGAAAGGTTCAACAATATATTGCTATTAAAATACGTTAAAACTTAGTGATATTGCCTTGTATATTTACAGATTATATTTTCAAGCAATTAATAATGCCATAATATGTGATCTAAGCAAGTCGAACTGTCGAAATCATGATATATACAGGCTACAAGAAGGTATGAAATATACAGTAGATAGAACAAAGGCAGGATTGTTCTCTCATACAAAGCTAGAGAACTTGCTTTGGCGATTATATCAATATTAGCTAAGTGAGTCAATATTGATGCCCTCTCAATACGTTAACAATGTAAATATTATATTGTTAATGTATTGTCAGATGTATTGAGAAGGTATCAATACAGTATATTGACCCATTTAGCTAATATTGATTTAAGTTCTATGGCTTTCAGGCTTAATAGGAGAACTATCCTTCCTTTGTATTATCTATATTGTGCTATCACAGTAAATAGCTATATCTATATTTAATATCCAGACAATCCCTGACTGTTGCTGAATACATTGAGGA